CTTCTGTCTTTTTGTATCTGTGTTCTTTTGCGTTCCTAGATTTCTCTGCCTTTTTATCCTTCTTTCTGTTTCTTGTCTTTCTTTCTTATTATCCCTTCGTACCCGTTTCCCCCTCTCCTTTTTTCCTCCTCACTCTCAAAATTTTCGCCGCAATCCTGCACTCCCTTTTCGACCACATTGCTACGCTATACACCTATTCGGTCGGTGTCAACATAGCAATAGCAGCAGCCCGTGTTGCTTCCCAAGAAACTTCCGGTTACTTGAAATATCACTCTCTAATGCTGAAGCAGAAAATTTGTTTTTCGTTTTAGTTGTGCCAGAGTGAGGAAAAACACGTTTTTTTTTTGCTTTTTGGTAAAAGGGAAGAGTTTAAAGTTAAAGACTAACTTTTCTAATGTTGCGTGTACCTTAGAAGAAAATTTATTGGAATTATTTGGCCAGACAAAGGCGACAAAAGTGTCGAAAATGAGCGGGCTACTCGCTTAAGCATTCGTTCCCCGCCAATGCTTCTAGGTTACGCTAATGCACAAAAACGGAAGCCGTCCAGCAACTCTATGTTTGTAAACAGCGAAAGAATCCAGATTATACAATTCTCCGCTACGCTCTGCTGTATTCATGGTTTCAAGATTGCTAGAATTGTACCCCAGAACACTTCCGGTCTTCTCATTTACCAGCTCTTAGCGTCGAAACTGCAAGAACATTTTAAATATAGAAATGTCTCTTTTTAGATTTTCAAATAAAAGGAACGCGAATGAAGTGCAAAGACATCTTTTAACTATTTTACGTAGCTCAAAAGAGCTTTTATTTGAATATATTTTGCGAAATAAGGGAATAAAACTGCAGATAATGGGCTATTTTCTAAACCTCTTCTTGCCCACCGATGCTAGTCAGGCACATTGGTTGAAGAAACCGAATGTCATCAAGGTCATCATTGTTATTGTATGTCTAAGAAGAAAATGTTCTGGTGAAATGTTATTGACGTCTGTGACAATAATTTTTATACAGGGTATGTGCTTGTAAAAAATGAAATGGTCTATAGTGTGCCAGAATTGCCAAGTGGTTAAGGCACTCGGATTGTGGACACGTGGGTTTGAGTATTGCGTCGCCATGATTTTTTTTTTCTGCAAGAATTTTTTTTATTTCTTCATCGTTTTGTTTTTATCTCTTTCTTTGGCCTTCTCTGCATTTGCTTCCTAAGCCATCAGAGTTTTGGCATCCCACGCCATAGAATCAGTGCACTTGTTCTGGAACCGAAGTAGAAGAGGAATAAGGCAACGACGAGAGGCTTTGCCGGTACATGTTGCTGATCATTTCTGTTTGATCCGCACGAATAAACGGTTGGGTTGATTTCCACCTTTAAAACATGCACTTAGTAAAATGTTTCACATGACTCATATGAGTCATATGAGTCACTCAAAGCGTAATCTGTACTGTTCCGCTTTCGTTTATTAGAACGTATGTGGGTCAGGCCGGCGTTTTTATTAACCGGGGACAAAAAGAGTATCACTAGATTGTAAAAAAAAAAAACAATTATAGGTTGTCTGGGCACCCATGCCGACGTTCTGCCTGCATGCTTTTGTTTGAAAACACTTCGATTCTGTAAAAAGCGCATATTAGGATGACAAAAAGAAATTGTTGATGCCTATGAGAATATAAATATTAGTTCAAGTAGCGCTTTGTCGCTGTCTGGTTTTTTTTTTCTACGACCTTTTTTGTTAGCGCTTACTCACTCTTTATGAATGAACTTATTTTTATACGTTTCGAGGTATCACCGTATTGAACGATCTTAACGACCCCGATATTAGAGAGGAGACGACACGGTGCAAATGATGCAGGTGACTGCACGTCTTAATTTAAGCGACAGCTAATCTCTCACAAACGGAATAATGATGAGTTCAGAGCACTGAGAATGTGGAGATCGATATCTCAGTTGGAGTGCAGACAAGCACGAGCGAAATAAAATTAATGGTTTCTGCATCGTGAATCCAGCGTTAGACTAGTCAGCGTTATTATAGGTGGGATATCACTCAATCCGATTGAGCGACGCGTAATTGGCGTAACTGAAGTATTTGTGACCGCTACCTGCAATGTTCATGTCATGCGCAGAAGTCTTGAGAACGAAAATTGCGTTAAGTATAGGCTGGGTTTATACGCGCGAATTTCGAGACATCTGAGTGAATAATAATATTAATATTAATAATAATAATCAGAGAGATTTTACCTTCCAAAACAACGTGCGCTGACATGGCGCAGTACCCGGGCCTCTGTGATTTCACCTTCATCGAAATACGACTGCCAAGACCACGATCGAACTCGCGACCTCCAGATCAGCTGCAGATCACCACAACCACTGCCCCACCACGGCAGAAAAATGTGTAACCGAAAGGGACTCTGACACGGTCGAACAGCAGTAATTTTCAGCGAAACCGAAGGGTCTATCGTGTTTTTAAATGTATCAAAAATGAATCGCGGAAAGAGTATTTCAGTGCAAAATAAGTTTTTTGCAGTAGCCACCTATAACGCTGCTCCCCGCCGGCGACGGCCGTTTCATCCATAGCGTCTGCGACGTCACGTGCCGAATAGAGCACGGCCATCGTAATTCAGCCGCTGCAGATCGTTCAGTTTCACGGCCAAGCTGAAGAAGTCCGATTGCTCGATTGCGCGTGCAGCTGGCCATTCAACACGTTCACTTGCCGCGATGCAGAAGACCACGCAGCAGTCTGCATGTTAAGACACGCCTCTCGCATGCGCCAGTGATGTTTCGACTTTTAGGTGGTTCGCATGTTTATAAATACATTCAACTATAAAGAAAGTGCTGAGCGAAATGCGTCAAACTCTTGCAAGCGCATATGTTAACGCACGAGGATTAACCTTGTGCGTTCACATTTAACCTCAAACGCAACTTATGGACGAAAATTAGATGTCATGACTCCTTTAACGTTGCAGGTTCGATGTTCTTCTTGGTCGTTTGCACATTTAAAAACATTTTGGCGTAGCTATGTATAACAAGGTCAATAGCTGAAGAAACCAAATAAGTGGAAGATGACATAGAGCACAGCAGCAAATTCATGCGTCGGTATACTCCATCTTCTGACCATATATCTCGTTTTCTACTAATGGAGTAGAAGAAGTGGGTAACGATTTAGAGTACTTGGTACTCTACTATGGGAGAGCCTAAAGCCGTCCCAAGCGGTCGAAGCAAAGATATTGTTTACGCCCAGTGAGTTGGATATACTAAAACATCGCGTGACGCATCGTGTAAAGCGACGCGGCTTTATATTCAATTCACGTTTTAAATGTTGCGCGCATCAGTTCGCAGTGCAGGGGAGTGCGAGGCTTTCACTAAAAGTAAAATAAGGTTACAGGTACGAAGTGCACATCGAAGTGTTTCAGGAGCTACATTCACACTATAGTAACAGATTCGGAATAACCTACCGTGTGCTTAAGAACCCCTGGTGATCGAAATTTCTGGAGCCCTCCACTACGGCATCTTTCATAATCATATGGTGGTTTTGGGACGTTAAACCCCACATATCAATCAATCAACCTACCATGTGATCATGCGATAGGGCAAACTTGAGTGTAATTTACCAGCTTGTTTTTTTTCCTCTATCGGTGGGCTTCCAAAGGTAAAAAAAGGTGATGGTAAACAAATTAAAGTGTATCGCTGACGTCGTTACTAACAACATCCATGTTATCGCTTGTTGCCTGGTGTAGCAGCCTTAGTGTTATCCCGCGTTTTATAAATAATCATCGTGTATCCAGCAGAATGGCCTTTTTTTACATGCATCACATCTTCATAGGCGACGCCACGTAAACGCTGCAAGTTCAATTGATTGTTATGAGGAGATTAACCTCCCAAAATCCCCATATGATTACGAGAGACGCCTTAGTGGAGAGCTCCGGAAATATCTACAACCCTGGGGTTCTTTAACGTGCATCCATATCTGAGCACACAAAGCAGCAGCATTTTCGCCTCCATCAAAAATTCAGCCGCCGCAGCCGATCATCACGCGATTTGCCGGTCAGCAGCCGAGTATCTTAGCCCATACACCACCGCGGCGGGGCACGCTGAAAGTTCAAGAAACAGCTTACCTACGTGACCTCATATCAATTTTATCTAATCTTTTATTTACTATTCGTCGTCGAGTGTAAAGTGTGATGGGGTCTAGACGCGCAACAAACTAGTTCACGCGTGAAGCTGTAAAAAATGAGCGCGACATTGACCTGTTTCAGCGGAAACATTGTCTTTTGCACAAATAAAGTTTCTTTTTCTTCTGCACGGGTGGTGCCATTACTTTTGCCACTTCTATACCGAAATGCGTTGCGGTGTAGTGGAGAATGACGATCTTGTTTCAAACGCAGAGTCATAAGCAGTGGACAGTGTTGTTGTTTTTTTTTTCTGTCGTATACGACCCTGAGGCGCTGACATCAAACCTGAGAATGATCTAGCAATGAAATTGAACAAAGCAAAAGTATAGCGATGGAAGGACCGAAGGTCCCGACCATTTCACGATAAGGTGAAGCTCCCCTTTGGAGCCTTCAATCTCGACTCCAGTGACTAACTACCCTTTTCGACTAAACCCCCGCCCAACGTGGTGTGCCATGCGGATCGCATATTTATGACTACGGCTTCTTCGTCACTAAGGTACGCGTCTTTTCTGGCTGTCTATTGGTTTCTCGCACTTGTTGCCTAACCACCACGTGCAACCAAACCGCACGTCTCGTTTTAGCTCGTTCTCTTCGCGCGGGCGAAGAAAGGGTAAAGAGAAGGAAGGAAGACTCTTCAAGTTCACGAGGTCGATCTCACTGACAAGGTGAAGGAACGGTCGCAAGGTCGTCTCCTAACTTTGGTCCTTGTCGTTTTGTACTTTGCTACCTCTACTGCGCTTTCGACGAGCGAGGGTGATGATGCGCTGCGAAGCGTGCATAGGTGAGTCGTCTGGGCATGTCGATGCTGCTTGTGTTTTCGCTCGTTATTCCTCACTGCAGCGTCGTACGTCTCCCCTTTTCTCCCCCCTTTTCGGCTTTAACGTAGCTCGTACGCTCGCGGACAACCGGCGCCCTCTTTCCACCCCAGAAGCGAGCCCCGTCCGGCGGCAGTGGTTGAAGCTGGGAGGAGACGTAAACTAGGGCATCCTGCCCCTCGCCGTATAAAAACTGCCGCGCCGGACGGCGAGAAAGTGAAAGAAATATCGGAGGGGTGACCGGGAAGAGAGCGCGCCGCATCCTCCGCAGCTTCTTCGCTGAGCCCCGCGAGTTCGACACGCCTGGCGCATCCGATCGGTCCGACCCGACCTTCTTCAAAATCGACACCTGTACGCGACCTGCCTGCCTTCTCGATTCGGTGTTTGGAGGCTGCGTTTTTCCTCTCCGTGGAGATAATAGGCCAGCGTTGCTGAACTGAAATCGCCATGATTGTTCAGGTGAGCCCGGCAGATGATTTAACTCTTTCGCGAAAGAAGTGGCGAGTCGTTGCGGTGGGTGTGTGCTTTGAGGGCACGGCTTCATTCTCCTTGTTGCGTCAGATTTTAAGGTGCACACTTACATCATCTTTTGTCACTGCGTTCTCCTGTTGGTAGATTGCGTTGGTCCTTCTAGGTACCGACGCTGTTTATAGCGTATGATTTGCGGTGATCAATTTCAGCGCATAAAACATTTCAAACACTTGCATGAAAAGTGATACCTGTGGCGTTCCGCTTACGAGATCATCATGGTACTTTAGTTTATTCTGTGGATAGAAACGGAATAAAACAGTGGGAAACGAATCGCTCTATAAAGAAAAGTAGGTATAAAATATTTATTTCCTTCCGCGAGACAACTAATTTAAAAACATAACCAATTTTTGTGGAGTAGAGGGAACGAAGACAATCGAGTTCTACGTGTTCAGTTGCTCCTTAACATTGCGTATGTTTTCTAAACGTGGAGTGTAAGTGGCATCACGTTGACTTTCTGCTAACGCACTGACTAGCTTTGTATTAAAAAAGGATTTGGTGCAAGCAGGCGCTTTTGCAAACCGACGATCGTACTTTTGCCTGGCGATTTCGATTATAACTATAATATTCGTGATTTTCGGGCAGCCAGCTATATTGGAGCCTACTTTTCTGCTTTCATACGTAAATAAAATAAAACAAAAAATCCTCGCATCTCCACGAAGTGACTCCAGCCCCTGTCATGAAACACCACTTCAGACCATTGTGACAACCAGTACAAGATTGGTTTGCTTTAACAGAACATAAAGACCAACTCACTCATGTCTTATTTGCAATTCATACTTTCTTATTCCTTGTTAGAACGATTGATAGGATCGTCCGCTGAGCAACACAGAATACGAAGTGCGCGAAGACGATCAATAAGAGTAAAACCATTTCATTTCGCAAAGCCGTTGAAGAAACTGCAGTTAGTTCCTCATTTAAAGTTACCAGACTTATTAATGACTCAATCGTGGCTATAGCTGTAAATATATTTAGGAGATCTCAAAACAAACAGCAATAACAAAAAAAAACATGTAGCAGCAGTATAAGGGGCCTAATCGTTTCTTTTTGTTGTTACTATTTGGTAATCACTTTATTTTACGGTTACAATTTTTCTTTTCCGCAGTTTAATTACCCATATGTTGGCTTACGACGCGTGAAACTAAATTTAACTAAGAACTTTATGAACCTGCGTTGAGTGTAACACGTTGTCAATGCGACACACGCAGTTATATATATTGGCTTGACTGTTGTATCGGAACATTCTGGAATAACCATTCAGATTGTGTTCAGTGTTTGAACCATGCACGAGTACCTGTCACGCGGGGTTTTGTCACTTGGGCACGGCTGAAAGATGTTTGCTTCTTTATGCAGTCATTACTGTTAGAGAAAGGCCTTTATGTTGAGATTACGTCAAAGTTAGCACTGCTTCTGAAACTGGAGTGGAACGATTACACCGATTCCCGTAGGGAGAACAGAGTAGGGCTATTTCTGGAAATTTGTACCGTTTCACGTCTCCTGTATATTTTTTGTGCTTAATATAATATAATCATCACATAATTGTTCTACAAATATCAAAATCTGAAGTTGACGATACGAGATGGGACAACAACATTCAAAAAGACGTTCACAAATGTTATACGTGAGGTCAATGACCCCAAGGCTCGTGAGAAACAAGCCCCACCGTGGTGGTCCAGTGGCTAAGGCATTTGGTCGCTGACCCACAGGTCACGGGATGTAGTTGCGGCTGCGGTGGCTGCATTTTCGATGGAGGCGAAAATGTTGTAGGCCCATGTGCTCAGATTTCTGTGCATGGTAAAGAACCCCAGGTGGTCGAAATTACTGAAGTGTTTCACTGCGGCTTCTCTCATAATCATAAGGTAGTTTTGGGATGTTAAACCCCACATATCAATGAATACCGAGAAACAAAACTAGGATAGCACAGGTGGCCAATTTAGGGCATTCGGCGTTACTTTCCTCAAAATGCAGAGACATCCTTCGATGCCAAAGTTTATGGCAATATAAGAACAGCAGCAGCAACAACAACAACGGCAACAAAAAGAATCTTCCCCGTGTTTAGTACTTATTTCTTTTTTTTCTCGAAATCTCTGAAGCCACTGTCTGGCGTCCCTTCCCGGTTTAGGCGGCCAATAACTGAATCCAGAGTCACAGTTTGTCCTCGCGCTGGTGCCGTCTCCCCTCTATACGTATAGACTTGGCCTTCCATAGAAAAGGAGGCCATTATCGAAGCGGAAGAAAGAAGAAGAATGGGACTGATGTTCCTCTGCACCTTCTTTTTCTTTCCGATGATTCTCGGCATTTCCTACGGGCTAAAGGAGCGCGGCGTCGTTTTGCTGTTCCTCTTTCTGGTAGTTCTCTATTGAAGCGAGTCGTGCGGGAAGGCAAAAAAACCCCCGCTCAGTGAGGTATCCCCACGAACCGCGCTTCCTGGACCCCTTCGATGGTTTCGAAGGCGCGCACCCGATGGAAGTGTCAGAGGAACGTGCCGCTCATAATAATGATCCACGGCCGCGCAGTATCAACGGCGGCATATTCCCCCTTTCCTCGTCAGTGTTGTGCGCCTCGCGGAGAGACTTCGATGTCTCCGCATCCCAGTTCAGCACCACTGCTTATACCATTCAGCACCGCCAAACAGCCCCCCGTGCATCTTCACCTTTTATTGTATTTTATTTTTCACCAAGCGAGGATCTCTCATCACGTTTCGTATCCTCTTTCGACCGAGGAAGAGGACCATAGTGGGGCGAACACGGGTAACACCGGTTGCTGGCGCACCTTTCGCGCGAGATGCTCTTGAGGATTTTTAACCCGTACGTAACGCGTTCGATTCCGGCAAGGAGGAAATGATACGGGTGAGAAATGTGAAGTTCGCGCGTGTTGCTTCCTTCAGAAGATACGACGACTCTTACGTAGCGTGGTGATAGCGTTGATAGTTAGGTCTGTACTTGTTGGACAAAACTCTCGGCCATGCTCTGCGTTCTGTTGCAGTCGTCGCGGTGGTTCAGCTGTTAAAGGTGCTTGAATTCTGATCAGAAAAACTCGTGTTCAATCTCGTCTCAAGTATATCGATGGAGACGAAATGCTAGAAGTCCGTAGACTGTGCGATGTCAGCGTACGTTAAAGAACGCCAGGTGGTCGAAATTATACGGAGCTCTTTGTCATGACTTCTTTCGCAGCCTCACTCGCTCTAGTATGTAAAACCCCATAAACCAACCAGCATCTTACTGGTTATTTTTTTACGTTGCACAAGGGTTCTCTTACAAACAGCTGGCTCTAATGTTCGCAAGTATTTTGGTCACATGACCATAAAACGCACGTGCTTCAACTTTGCTTTGACCGTACGTGCGTGGCTGTTTGGTCATACAAGGCAAAGCTTGTGAGAATGACATTGTCCTGAACTTGTCGAATGCTTATCGAAAGAGAGTTTTATATACGCATTAAAGAAATTTGTATGCAAAAAATTTCCATATTGCTGATTTGTCTACTGTGATGGCTGGGCACTTTTAATACATTTATAGCCACTATTGTAATTCAAATGCACAATTTCCATTCAATTGACAGATTTATTTATGATGGACAAAGTGAAAGTACAAATAACACGCCATTTTATTTTCAATAAATCGCGGAAGATGAAATATGTGTTACTGTGCACTATTTTTCCTAGGGTAGTTGCTGTTTGAAAACAGAGTAAGCCTTTTTATTTGTTTCGTTACGAACCTTCGTTGTTATGGTAAATAGCACCTTGAACTCGAAAGCAAGGCTTGCTGGTCATTGCACTTCTTTTTTCATCGAGGCAGTGACTGCAAACTGTTCAGCAAACGCGTATTAGGGGGTCGCTGGTTCAATGAACGAGCGGAAGGCTCGGAAACGAGACGCCATGCAAGCATCGTGAATAAACATAAGCTCTATCGATGCAGCTTCACCCGTTCGTCGAACCGCAGTGCATCTAAGCTATCGGGCTATCTATTCATGTTTCCCATTTGTTACGGAGGATGGCGGTGTTGCGAAAGTAATGCGGTGCAGTCGACCGTGAATACGCAACGATGTGCGCGGTGTCACAAAGAGCGGCGTCACAGAGGCGCGTCCCCAAAGTTCACGGTTATTGATGGCGGGGCTGGCTACCGGAACAGGTACCGTGAACCGGTTGAGCGGTGCCCATGAATTTCAGCCGCAGCGATCGTGGTCAGGTTCAATGACTGCGGTCGCACCACTCTTCCGAGAACCGGTGTGTGAGATAGTGAAGGAATTATGTATCGCGTGAAACCCTTTGCGTCCTTTCATGCAATGCTTGTCACCTTTAATAGCCTGCCTTTGCGTTTACTTATTTATTAAGATGAAAATGCTAGATAGCTCATTCAAAGAAAAAAATTAACGCTGGTGTCAGCTCGACTTACGCAAAAAAAGATACAGTGTGAGGACGTCCCCATGCCGTCACAAACAGCGAAAATTTGTGACGTCATCTCGGCATCATTAAATGACATTGTCGCTTGGTAAAAATGTGCCAATCATGGAGGGCAGTAAAAAACCGGGTCAGTTGCACAAAATTCGCAGTGCCTTCAAAGCTGGAAACAATGCAAAGAATGTTCGGGGCCGAAAGATTTTGGAGAGTGTCGGGAGAGGATCATTGCACTGACTGAGAAGAACAAGTAGATAGCTTTCATCTTCTAGTCGTCTTAAGCTAGTGCACCAAGTACAGGTAGAGTTTCTGTTGCCAATGGAAAGGGTTTTGCGTTGTTTTGTCTCTCTACATACCATCACCCGAGAATGGTCCATAAAGCATGGTAGGCTGAAACGTTCGGAAAACCACCCAGTCAAAAATATTTTTCGGCTAGCTCGACATTTTTTTTTAATGAAACGAACTCAACATATGTCGTAAATTATAGCTGAGATCCAATAATTAATCTTCAGAAAGAGATTTGTCTATGTTTATTAGC